TAAATTATCAAGATCAATGCTAGCCGTCAGTCGGTAGCACGAAAAACTCTATACAATATTGAAATGGAAAAAATAATGAGTATATATTGTATTGAAATAAAATTATTATATCGATAGTAGAAAAAGAGATAGAGTAAGTAGGATTGTTTAGGGATGTATATGACACAAATGGAAAAAAAATTCATTTTCTTATAAGTTGACGCAATAAACATATTTTAAAAAATTATACCATTCATTTGCACCTTTTGTTCTTAATTATTATTTTTATGAAAGATAAAAATATAATAATACGTTGTTGTTTTTTTTCGTAATTTAGAATGATTCTATTGTCAATTATTTAAGTCGCCTTTTATCTGTCTTGCTTGAGTACCAAAATATTCTTTTTATTATTTAATACTTTGTTATTTATTAGAATTGTCACATTTTGCATAAACAAAATATTTTTCTTAGATAGAAAAAAGTCAAAATACAATTATATTTATAACATGATGTGAAAATTTGAGCATAATTTTTATTATTAGTATTGAAGAATACACTAACTTTATAATCAAGAAGTAAGATTTTTCACTATAGAAAGATTATGTCACACTAACTTTTTTCTATGTTCACTAACCGGTTACATAAGTTTTCTTCGACTAGGAAAGTATTTGTACATCATCATACTTGATAGTCGACTATGTAAGTAAACTAAGTGACATAGAAAATTAGAACTTGAAGAAGTGTCTTACAGAATCTTGTAGATATCAGGTACGTTTACTTTTTTAATGTAGTTATTTTGTTGATGTCTAGATTATAATATATGATAAATAATTCTCAGTAGTCTAGTTATCATGTTTCAAATACCTGACGACGACAAGAAATTAACAAAAAAAAGGCACGTTTACAATTATGTTTTGATGAAAAATATGAAATAGAAAACAATTCTTAATTAGGTTTATAATGGGATCAATGAGAAAATTTTCAATCTCCACGTATGCCTCTATAAGTGTTGTAAGCTTCAAAAAAAAAAGTATGATATCGATTTAATTTAGTTGAACAGATTTTAATAGATATTTTAGTTAAGTATTTTTATTTAATATAATATCTCGTAGTTAGACTACTTTCAAGCAAGAAAAACTTCTTTTTATATTCATAAAATATATTGATCAATTGTAATACTTCAGTGATTAATCCATCACTCAAAGCGATATTTCTAATATTTTATTTTGTTTACGAGGGAACCTCCCCAGGTGTTAAATCGCTTTTCGCTCAGGATCATTGCCATTCGATAGGTCCTAGTGAGCAGTGAAAAAGTCTATTTTGGTTTGGGTTCATGGACCTGTAGGACTGAGCTATTGAATTTTTAGTGAATTTTTCCTGCAGGACCCCAGTTTTCCAGCAAAAATATTTTTTCGAATTTTGATCTGAAACTTTGCCCACACGAAGACCTCAACTAAACTAGCTTCCATAAAAAACTTCAGAACTTTTGAACAAAGTCTCTCCGAGATAAAAAATTTTCACGATATAGGCGCTTTTCCATAGACAGTGTATAAAACATGCATCTTTTGGAAAAATCATATCTCAGAGAGACTTTGTTCAAAAGTTCTGAAACTTTTTATGGAACCTAGTTTAGTTGAGGTCTTCGTGTGGGCAAAGTTTCAGGTCACAATTCGAAAAAAATGTATTTGCTGGAAAACTGGGGTCCTGCAGTAAAAATTCACTGAAAATTCAATAGCTCAGTCTCAGAGGCCCATGCACCCAAACCAAGATAGACTTTTTCACTGCTCACTAGGACCTATCAAATGGCAATGGTCCTGAGCGAAAAGCGATTTAACACCTGGAGACAAGGGGGAAAAAACTCATTCGGGCATTCCCTGGCATTCCCAGCGATTCCCAGCCATTCCGATCCATTCCCTGGCATTCCCAGCCATTCCGATCCATTCCCTGGCATTCCCAGCCATTCGGATCCATTCCCAGCCATTCCGATCCATTCCCAGCCATTCCTAGCCATTCCGATCCATTCCAATTCATTCCTATCGAATCCGAGCTATTAGAAATCACTCACGTCTATACGTAACTTTTGTAAATTACTGCTATGGATCTTAGAGTTAGCTTTTCTCGTGACCTTAGTTACTCGACAGAAGGGAGGGGCATATAAAATAAAATGTGTTTGTCTGTGACTGAATGTTTGTGGCGGGTCAAAGCTCATAGTATTAAAGAACATTATAAAGTTTGACAAAAGGTAATTAGGGCCAAAGAATCCGAATCTGAAGTAGGTTGTTCAATATTTTTAGATGAATTTTTCCGGTAAAGCAAAGGACTTTTTTGAGAAAGTCACGATATGTGATAAAGGTTGACGAAAGTAAATCGGGGTCGGGAAATCCAAATCTGAAATCGGTTTTTCGAAATTTTGAATTTTATTTTTTTTGACTAGGGAAAGGGTTTTTTAAGAAAATAACGATTTTCTATAAAGGTTGACGAAAGTAAATCGGGGTCGGAGAATCCGAATCTGAAATCGGTTTTTGGAAATTTTGAATTTTATTTTTTTGACTAGGGAAAGGATTTTTTAAGAAAATAACGATTTTCTATAAAGGTTGACGAAAGTTAATCGAGGTGGGAGAATCTGAATCTGACATCGGTTTTTCGAAATTTTGAGTTTCGATTTCCCAGCAAAAAAATCTCTTTATCAAAGTCTTGCTTATCCTAGAAACTTTTTATAGGGAGAAATGATGTTTTTTCNTATTATTTAATTAAAAGTTCGATGTTTTAATCGCTTTTTTTTTTTGTTTTTATCAAATACATAGAAACGTTTAATATATAAAAATTACCTTTGTTTTTTTAAATTTTGGTCATTTTGTGTTTAATAGATATAACTTTTGAGTAGAATATATTTGAAACGTTAAGTATTAGGTGAAAAACAGAAATTTGTCTCAATTGTCGAGAAGATTTTGAATGTTGATTATTTATTCTTTTCAAACGATCAGAAAATATGTCGTAATTTTTGAATCTAAATTTTCTTCGAAATACACTAAAATTTGATAGATATTTGTTTTCATCATTCATCGGTTCGAGATTATAGTACGAAACATATTGAAGAATTTCAATGGATATAATGCTTTTAATTTTTCATTTACTAGATATGCGATGTCGTTTTCGACGATTGATCTATTTTCTACTGTTAGTAGTTTCATTAGTTATTCCGTATCAACTATATATGATAACTCATAAATCAATAAATTCTCAATCACCTTTTACAGTAAGTATTTGATAAAAATCTTCTTCTTGCTATCATAGTATATGTCCTTTTAATAGGTAATTAATTTGAAAAATCATACTTATCGTATACTTTCTTCGTCGTTCAAATATAATTCTCGTGAATCATATCTTAATTTTGCTTATTTTAATGTTGAACAACGTTCTCGAGTGTTATATATTGATTATCTATATGGTAAATTTTCATATATCATACAAATCGAAATTTTACTTTTATGTGTTCTTTCTAAGATATACCAGTTTCATCTCAATGGCAATCGAGTGGACATTTCTATCCAATACAAATTGCTCAATTTGGTCTCAGTCATTGGAGTCGATTAAAATTGAATTCGAAGACTAAACAAAATCATATTCATAGATTTGAACGAATAGAACCAAGTAAATTAATTTTTAGTAATATTTAAGAAATTTATTTCTGAATTTAATTAGATAAAAATAATTATTGTTCATCATGGTATATAATAAAAAATAAAATTATTCTCTCAAATACTTTTATTCATTTTACAATTTCATCAAATTGTTCATTATATTTTCAATTTTTGAATAATAATATTGAACTTATTTATTCAACGATGAAAATCAATAATTTGAAAAGTTTAACAAAAATAATTATTCCACTTAAAGGTTTTCCTCGTCAAGTTAATCGACATATGTTAGTTGACATAGAAAAATCGATTCAAAAATTATTTTTAATTAAAAATGATTTCATTAAATTTCGAATGTGTGGTGAATCAAATTCTTTTGTCAATCAATTAATAATTGGTAATCAAACATTATATAATCAACAAGCATTTTATTCAGCTACACAATGGTTATTAAATACTCAAGATATTAATACAGGTTGTTGGTTTATTTATGTTAAACGAAATTATGGTAATTATCATCAATATCATTTACGAATGCCATGGTGTTCAGCAATGGCACAAGGTAAGTTTCTTTTTGAAAATCATTTAAAGTATAATTTTTGTAAATTTAGGTCAAGCAGCATCTTTACTTGTTCGTCTTTATTCTCTTACAAATGATAATCAACATTTATTAGCTATTCGTCGAGCTATTCAACCACTGTGGTCATCAAATATGACTCGAGCTTATTTTGAAAATCGTTTTCTTTGGCTCGAAGAATATCCATTAGAATCACCTGCTCAAGGTCTTTTTGTTCTTAATGGATGTCTTTATTCTTTAATTGGTATTATCGATGTTCATACAATTGATCCTCAATCTTATTTATTGGAATTAATTAATGAAATAATTAATTCATTACATTATATGCTTCCATATTATATACATCCTAAGATTTCAAATTGGTCTCTCTATGATTTAAGTCATATAACAATGAAATCAAAAATGAATACAGCTTCTGATTCATATCATATTGTTCATATAATACAACTTCAATGTTTAAGTCAATTATTTAAAAAAACAAATTTTTCTACATCTCAACTATTTGATTTATATGTTCGAAGATTTATGTCAGCTATTTCGTAATTGAATTTTCATTGATTTGCCATAATTCTTCGCTATTTTTTACTGGATAATAATAAATAACAATAAAATCTTTTGTTTTTTCTTCATTATGTGCAAGTCCAAAACCAAGAAATCGACAATCTGGATTTAATATTGGTGTATAACGTTTCTGAAAGAAAATCATCATTAATTTTATCAAGTATTTATTTACTTTAGGTGAATGACCATTTTTTAAATCTTTAATAAGTTGATCATGTATTAATTTAGCAATATCAGAACCATAATTAATCGGTACTCGACAAGACATAACTCTGTAGGTTAAATATAGTTAACGAGCTATTTGAAATCGTTGTAAAAAAATTTTCATACGTTTCTCCAATAGGTTCATTATTATAAATAAGATCAGATCGATTGGTATTTTCTGTGTGATCTTGAATAGATAATTGAGTCGCTCGATAAACTGCTCGATGTGTAAGTTCATTAGAAAGTTCAAGTGATATGAATCCTAGATGACAGCGATATTCATTTATTGTTTCAAGATATTCTTTCGCTAAACGATCTAAATCGATGCCACATTGAATTTCGTATAATTGATTTGGTGTTGAAATGATTTTATCTGTTACGTGAGTGTTCGTATGGGAAATAATTAGTGAACCTGATGACGAATATTTTTTCGATATTTTTTCGTCTTCAGGTGGTAGAGATAATTTTATTCTATTTGAATTATGTACTTCCGATGATAGTCCATTGTTGACTGTCGCATTTACAGAACGTATGTTTGAACTTCGACCACAAAAAATACGATGACAAGCAAGAATTGTATTCAACATACATTCTATTAACTCAATAATTTAATCTTACATAATTAAAATCAAACTTTAAAATGAAATATAAAACAAGTTAATATATGAAGTTGGTATTTTTAGCGCTAATTGGAGATTGAATAGAGAGTATATTCAATCGATATTTGTTAATAAAACAATACTACTTAAGAATAATTTTAAATATTCTTAATTATACTGTTCTTGTACAAGATAAAACTTTTTTTGTAAATTTAATTTATTTTTTTCAAAACTTGTTCCTGTTGAAATATATATATATATATATATATAAATTCAATTGATGAACCTCTCAGTATTTTACGTCTATGTCACTGCCTTTTCAACATAAAAAAAATCTTTTTAGAAAAGGATTCCTCATTCACATCTCTATGGACTGCAGGCATTGTTATTATCTAAAAGGTCTCCACTTTTTTGCGACATACGATACAATCGATTTGTCCAAGATGCGTAATTTTCAACGACAATATTTTTTCACGTAAATAAGGTTAGTACCTGATTCGAGTATTTCTTGTCCGGATTCGCCTAACCACCTGTATTGGTTCTCTCTTTGGTTGTGTTGAGTCCAAAAACCAAACCATTCGGTGCCGCATTTCATTCTCTATCGAATGATACCGTTTTTAATGGAGGTCCTCGAACAAAAAATTGTATCATTCGATTGAGAATGAAATTCTGCATCGAATGGATTGGTTTTTGGACTCAACACAGGTGGTTAGGCGAATCCGGACAAGAAATACTCGAATCTGGTGCTAACTTTCCTTACGTCATTTTGTTGGACCTTTTGTTGCATAACATTTTAATTGTGAAATCATTATTATGCTTGATGTCACTCTATTCCAGTTAATGACCTTAACGAATCCATCCTAAATGGAGTAATCTAGTCGAGTGGGTTGAGATGAAGACTATTCAGTGACGAATGTCTTTTCTTGATAAAGTATGGAAAACAGTCTTGATACTTGATTTTTCGTTTAATGTGTTTTGCATAAGATAAATTCATAATCAATAAAGAAAAACAAAGAATTGCACCCAGTAGTGCTTTTGAAACATTAGAATGATCAGTATCTGACGAAAATATTTCGTGATTTCAACGCTGCATTTGATCTAACCATAATTAAAAGATGGTGCAACCTGATCGATGAAAGTTCGTCAATTAATTTTGATAACAGCACCAGGTCATTATCGGATAGTAGGAACAAAATCAATTCTAAAGTTTCATTTTTAATTACGTACGTGAACTGCGCCAGCTTGAACTAGCTTTCTATATCTGGTCCCCAAATTTTAACAATACTTTTATCAAAATACATGTTTATTTTATCGTAGCAGTACTTGACAAGTCTGCTCAAGCACTGTTCATGAATACCAATGATCCCACTGGTTACTACATACTAAGTGTCACAATAATGCTTATTTGATTCATCTGATGTGCTTTAACGCTAACTCCGACATGCATAATATTCTTAAATCTATTTTTGTTTGAGGAAAATCTGTGTCGAATCGAGATGGTACCACACGTGCAGCGGCGTAAGTAGGATTTTTAGACCAATGGGCAAACTTCTCTTATGTTGGAAAAAATGATGGGCGAAATGGACAAGGTTTTTATTGATAGGTGAAAAATTTTTTGACCCAACAAAGNCACTTGAGAAAAACATTTCAAAATATAGTCATCCGAAAGAGCAAAAAATTCTGAGCAAAATGAGGGGTTGCCCAGTTCTCCACGATGTTTTCTTGTAAAGCTATAAGCATAAGAAAAGTGAAAAAAAAGTGTTTTTAGGCTATTTTTAGCGGTTTTTTTATGAATTTTAAAGTTTTTTTCACTTTTCTGCTGCTTATAGCTTTATAAGAAAACATCGTGGAGAATTGGGCGACCCCTCATTTTGCTCAGAATTTTTTGCTCTTTCGGATGACTATATTTTGAAATGTTTTTCTCAAGTGCCAGAGGCACTTGATTTTGGAGCACTTCGGTTTTGTGTAAAACTTTCTAAGGAATGTTTTTTTGGGGATATTGATCTATACTGTTTTCGATAGAGAACTTCAAGGGCTATCGAAATCACTATTTAGATTTGATCTAACTATTCGTCTTCATTGAAAAATCTGAACGACAAAAGGGGGGCTATAATTTTGTTATACCCTGTATATCTTAAATTGAATAACTTTTTGATGAGAGCAGATGTAATAAAAAAAATATGTTTATCATCTTATTTTTGAAAAGAATATTTGTGAAGAAGAATCGATGTTAACAAACAAATAAAAATATACTATGACAATAAATAAATTTCAAATTTATTTACAATTTATGCTAAAAGGGGACGTGTCAGTCATAAGTGATATATCATGTAATGAAAAACTTGTTATAACATTAACATAATATTCAATCGTGAAATTGTTTACTGTATAATAGTTGAAAAGTGATATTCACAGATACACTGTATCATCGTTTTGATCTGACCAATGAATCATTGTCATTGTACCGACTGTTCCTTTCTATTAATTCCCCTCGAGAGAAACTCACTTTCTTAGTTTTGTTTAGCATATTAGCATTAATCAATGTATATCTTTTCGAAATTCAGATATGCACATGTATAAAAAAAAAAGTGCACTCATATATTCGCACCACACAATACTGTATCAATATACTCGTGATCAATGAAATGATTAATAAAAAACAAAAACAAAAAAACAAAGACAATTCGGTAAAGTAAGATTAACATAAATAAAACATCTGAGTACAAGCATTATTGAATTACAACGATTATGTTGACCATTGTTTGCTAATCACTTATTGTTCGATGTTACTCTAACAATGAACTTTTCACGATTAAGGTCGCATATATAAAAACACGAGAGTAAATAGCATAAAATAAATCATAGTAAGATGAATTCATAAAGAAAAACTTCAATTTCTTCTTTAGTCTTACTCATGAATATTCTGTTACATGTATATTTCTCTTTCGGTAGTAATAGAAAGAAATAAGCACGATAAAAGAGAAAGGCAATCTTTATATTTATTTTTCAAATGTATTTAATCACCAACAACAAAAAAAGGAAACAAAAAAGAAAAACAAAATATGACAAAGATATAAAGAAAAAATATTGATATTCCATAAAAGATATACTTGATCAATTGATACTAAAGTAAAAAACATGGTTGATGTATGGAGTAAAAAAATCTAAAAACTGATGCAATTCTTGTGAAATTACGTGTTATTCGTTATTTCTTATTGGTGTTCTATAAGTGAGTAAGCTACATAAATTAACTTCTAATGATTAAGCGAAAGTATATCCGTTGCATAGAGATATATTAGTAAATGTTAGTTAATATTTGATAATATTCTTTTTTTTTTCAGTAAAATAATAACACCTCGGAGCTTGCCTAATTTCATAATAATGATAAGAAAAAATATGAATTGTGCTGCTCAGAATGAAATATGGACAACTTCAACTATGAGTTGTAGTTAATTTTAGAGTTAACACTCTTTTTACGAGAGTTGGAGCTACACTTTATGAATAATACGGTAGACTTGAATAAATTTTGATCAAAATTGAAGTGATGTAACAAAAATAATTCAAGAGTTGCAGTTGAAGATTGATTGAAACAGTGTTCTCTAACTGAATCAGGTTCAGATTTTAGATCATACCCGGCAAATATTTGAGATCTCGGTGTTTCAAATGTTGTAACTTTTTCAAACTGCTCATTCATATCAAAGGATAGACATTAAAATTGGTTCGATTATAATCGACTCAGTTATTGTACTTGAGAACCAGTCACAGAAGTGGAAATTGATATTATTTTACTAAAAGGATTTCTTGTCAATGAAAATTCATCTACAGATGATGAGAAACCATATGGCGAAGTAATTGAATACATGAAGAAGAAAATGAGCTATACAAAAAGTGAACATATTTTGTCTTAATGGAAAAAGTATCTATGTGTATATTCAAAATTATGACAGTTGACATTAACATTGAGACCCATTCCACCGTTATCAGCAACAAGTAAACGTATACTTAGCGAAACTGATCGGATCTTAGAAGCAGAAAGACACCAAGTGAATCCTGAATCACTTGTCGTTTTTGTGGAATTTGAGATGATCTCTTTTTTTTGCTGTTGTTTATCGAAGAAACTAAATAGTTTACTTTTTCATATAAAATAAAAGTTTTGAAAACTGTACTGTGAAAGTATTTGTTAAATTTCGGTTAGCTTCGGTCTTGAGGGTGTGAATGCGAAAAATCATACCCGTACAAGACATTAGATTTGGGTTAGAGATTATCATTCAACTCTTAAGGATGAGATCCGGTTATGCATAACTTTGTGCAGTTAGAGTTGCAATGAGGTTTCGAAAAAGCTTATAGTTAAAGTTGAAACCAAGTCGGAGTGAAGTTGGACCGTCACATAATTAAAGTTGCTCATCTCATCTTGGGATCGATTTGATTGTTTCGTAGTCTAGTATTTAGTTGGTGAGTTTATGAAATCATTTATATTCGCTTACATTTGAAACACAGCTAGGTAATGTACTTACTCAAATGAATTATTATTTGATAGTGCTATTTGAATCTAATAACATAAGATTTTTTTTTTTTAAACTAGAACCTATTCTATTTGCCGTAGTTTACAATCATTATACTATTAAAAAATGGTTTTAAAAAAATTTGATTTTGGAAAAACATTTTTTCTTATCACCTTTAATAATTTTCATTTTAATAGTTTTTCAGATGTGAGAGTAGCCTATACTTTTTCTAATTATTATTCATATGGTAGGATTATTATTATATTTCTATAGTATCATTCTAAAAGAATTTATATAGAAATTAAATTGGTCATTGAATATTTGATTACTTTTTCTTTGAATTTATAATTGAAAAAAAAAGATTTAGCGAAGCTCAAAGATAGAAGCGTAGGCAAAATTGTGACCTTACACCTTAATTTATATTCCTGTCATGTTACTCATCATCATTTGTAGTCAAGACACTTAACCTAAGGCTACATATCATTAGCATTTCGATTTATTTTTATCATTTCTCATCTGATGTTGAATGCAGACTCGTACGTTAATTATAAATAAAACGATATTTTATGAGTTCTCATTACATGATGGACATTTCATCTTAAATCAAAAGAAAGAGTCTGTTAAATAAGACAATTTAATGATAGAAATATATGGCTAGTGTAAAATTTCAGCAAGACTAAAATTCACTATAACGTTACAAGTAACTCAAAAAAAGTATTACACATCATTGAAAAAAGAGAGAAAAATTTAAAAAAATAAGTTCATGAAACAAAATTTATATTCATCATTGAGCAGTTTTTCTGATTGGCATTGTAGTAATTGCATTTCTACCTGGTTCACGTAACATTGTTGTGTCGACATGTTCATTACCGTTGTTCTCGTGTGGAACACCTTTCCCTGTTAATTTTACCCAACACGTAAACATCAATTGACGCACATCTCGTCGAAAACCATATACAGATATATAAAGAAAGAATGCATTCAATGCATTTCTTGTATACATTAATGTATTCGTTGCAAGAAATACTGTATCTGTATAGTCATGACCAATAAGCTGACTCTCGAAAACTGAAAAACAAAGACGATTAGGTAAAGTACAAACAGCATAAGTCAAACACATGAGTAAAAGCATTATTGAAATACGACGATTGCGTTGAGCACTAATTGATAATTGATTATTTGTAAATGTTTGTTTAACAATCAACTTTTTCACTATGAGCAATGTACAAACAATAATAACAATAAATGGCACAATATACATGACTACAAGATGAATCTAATAAAAAGAAACTAAATATCAATCTTGTATATGTTAATTGAGTACTTACCCATACGTATTGAAAACTAAAGAAATTATTGAGCTGTGGATTCAATGAGTAATAGCATGCTATAAGTGTTTCTTGTATACCAGTACTATTATTATAGATAGAATATTCAAAACCTAATCCAAATAAAAATCCATTCAATGCAAATAAAATCACTAGAATAATAGTACAGATTATTAATGCTATACGTGGTTGAGCTATTTTTCTTTTATACCATGTACTACGTAATAAACAAGCACGATCAAGTTCCACAAAAGTAAGAAACATAGCTGATGTATGTAAAGTGTAAAAAGCAAAAAATTGACCCAATTGACAAAGAAACACTGATCGTCCCCATATTTCTCGTCTACCTGCTGTAATTGTATAAACAGCATGTTTTAAATTCCATTGATAAAGTGATATCGTATCCATAAGACATAAAAATATCAAATAGATATTGGTTGATGTTCCACGATTTTGTCGATTAAGTAAAATGATCATGGATATAACATTACCGAAAGTCCCAATTATAATAAGAATCAAAGGTATAATAGCACTTATGATTAATTCAGCTGTTTCGTAGGGAAGTGGGTCTTCTCTTCGATACCATGAAGCCATTCGACGTTTACTGATATATGAAATATGTGATGTATATGACAGACAGTTTCTTTGACTGACTGATGTCCCTATATATCCGATTTTTTTTTAGTTTCTTCAGTCTGTTTTTTTTTTACTAACATTTTTGTTAAATATGTCATCCAATCCTATCTCTTCTATTTCAACAGACAAAAAAAAAGAAGAAAATCCTTATTTCTTTTTATTTTAAGTAACAGTTATATTATATTTATTTTCTATGGTTTTTTGAATGTTGTTTTCTCAGTGCGAGGATTGGATTTCAATTCGTTTGACATACTTCAAAAATATTAAAAACTTCAAGCAATTATAATTTATAAGGTCATCTTGAGTTAAACTCAAACAAAGTAAAAGTCACAATATGATGCCTATTTCTTTGATGTTATCATTATTGTTTCTGGTAATAGATATTTTCTTTAAAAAGATTCAAGGATCTTTAAAAATATTCTGTTTTCATTTTTATATCATTTCTTTTTACTAAAATAATTGACAAAGTAATGTTTTTTTCTTTAATTTGTTTTATTAAATGAGGAAAAGCAAAATTAAGATTGATATCCGGTTAAATATCACGGCTTTTTAAGTAAAACGGATGCATTCATATATGAAAAATATTTGTTCATGATTAAAGTATGATTAAAGTTAAATATATTGTCTTTTATAGTAAATGTATATGCAAGGTCAACTATAAATGATTACTTAATAAAAATTTGAAATGTCATACTTTGATGCAATCAAACAAGGTCAAATTGTTGTTGTTGAAAGAAGAATATCTGACTATTTTTTCTTATACAGATAATCTACGTAAATATTATTTTAAGATATCATTATTAACTTTTACTAAAGAAATAAAATCTGAAAAATTGATTTTTACAATGAAGTTAGTGAATTAATTATACATTTGAACTGTTAAATATGAATTCAAACTTTAAAAACAATTGATAGTTCTAAAATTTGTCTTTATATACATCAATATGATAGTCATTAATAAAATTTATTTTGATTTTTTCTCACTATTGTCTTAGATGACAACTGAGTATTATCTATGGGTGGCTTCGCACCTTTTTTTTTTTTTCTTGACGACAGATTTTATATCTTTAGGGAAGACAATTATGGGATATCAAAGCAATACTTATTTATGTTATTAGTCTATAAAAGAGAAAATTTATTAGTTCGAATAGTTTTCTGATAGCTCATGCTATATGTACTTAACTTATGTTAAGCTCAAGAGAATAGACCAAGGACTTTAGTTTTCAGTTATTTTGGGCATCGAGAAACTCGGACGAGATAATTTACATACAGGATAGTTCATAAGTTATGAAACTCGACAAAATTAACTTATATACAAACATGGAACAATCTCTAACTAAATTTATCTACATGAAAATTGAATCTGCCATTGATGTTTTAAGTAACATTATATTGGATGAAGTCTTCTCTTCTAATTATAGAAAGATAAAAATAAGAATGTGATGATTAGTTTTTTTTTCAAAATTCACCAGCAACATTTCTTTTTAGAACTTAAAAAGATAGCAGTAAATATATCTGATATTAAATAAAAACACAGCAGGAACTGATAAGTAGTTGTTGCAATCATTTACTTCAGATCTATTATAAACCATTAGTCACATCATCATGCAAACTAAATGCTGAACAAATGATTCACAGTGAAATAAAATACATGAGCATACTATTTTCAAAATCAAAACACGAAATAAAGGTTGCGTTGCAAACTGCTGATGAATTATTAATTGCTCAAGTATTATCTGAAAAGAGACGTTGAACAAGCCTTTTCATAGATTCATATTTTAATAGTAATTTTTTTCTACGTATAAAATGGACATTTATGAAGTGCTTATTTATATAGTAAACAAGCAGTCTTATAATATGCGGGTGTACTACGAAGACCGATGACGGAAAATTTGAAAACATTTGATAAACTAAAAGAAAAAGTAGTGGATAAAAAATGCATCGTAGTGAAACGGGATATTTTGCGTTATGATATTGTTATCTGTGTGTATCTAATAGTATTTTTCTTCTTAATAAATTTTTTGTTGACTCGATTTTGAAAAAATAAAATATTATGTTATTTGAAATGTTGTCATGAGTACTCAAATCTTATATAGCCATATTTAGTTAGAGATCATTTCCTGTTGGCATTCAAGAAAATTTTGTTGAGTTTAATGATTTATGAAATACGCTACATGTTCATGAACAGTATTCGATACTGGATTGTGTCAATCAAGAATTAAGAGCGGATCCTAGAACGTAGAATCCTGGAATATTTTAGGAATGCAATATTAACAGTATGCTATCGGCGCACCACTGTAATTATGTAACTAATTATATTTATTCTGTCAAATTTATTCGTAGCTTTCTATCCAACTTTTCATTTGTCTTGGTAATTTTCGCACAGACAATCAAATCTTTTTTAGGCTCGTCAAGAGATTTTGACTTCCGAAATCCAATTGACTGAACACAACTTACGAAAACATCTGATGAGTTCAAAAGAAAACCATGAAAAAATTCAATTGCTTGAAAAAATATCATGGGAAAATATAATTATCAGTATAATTAGTTCGATGCGCTCGTTTCATACTATTGTATGTTTAATCTGCCCTACAATCCTATGGTCCAAGATCCGCTTTTCTTTCTTAATTTGTATTCTGCGCTGCTGATTAACCAGGTTGATAATTCTGCACTCCGGAAACAAGCAGAATAACCGATGAAAATGTTGCGGGAAAAACATCGCATCCGGTTACCAACGCTGGGACCCTATGAAACTAGAAGGCAATATTGCCGACAGAAAAGTATCCGAGTTTTTCAATTATTTCGGGTCGCTTCTTATCGACAAGAACAAAAATATGGCCGACAGTTATTGAAAATATCCGCAGACTTTTCGATTTGTAATATTGCCGCCAAGCTGAGATATGTTGAGATTTCTAAAAAAAGAATACGTCAATTATTGCAATTTCTGACATATTCGTTTGTTCGAGAATCAGACAAAAATTCAAAATAATCGAGTTTGAAAACCTTGGAAAATTCAAAAACTTCAGTCATTTCAGTGATTACAAAAGATTTGTAAATCACATATACTTCAAAGCTGCCTAAAAATTTAAAATAGAATTCTATTTATACATGACATATATATTATTGTGTAAAATAATACTTACATTTGAATGTCCGATTTTTTTTTTCTTTTTAAGATTTTTCTGTTTAATTCGTTTTGTTCTATGATATATAATCTGATCCATTGAATAATAGGCTTCAGGCTTTATCTCACTATTCGATTAATATCTGTAATTATGTGATAATGAGAGTGCGAAAAAGTTATTTGTAATTTTGGAAATCGTACTAATCAAATTGTAATTTTTACGATATCACATGAACATACCTATTATTTTCTTAATAGTTTAGAAACTCACTCTTTTCTCATAATAACCATCTGTAAAGTATAATTAATTCATATGATATTTAAAACTTAAATACATTTCAAATATCGTCAGTGATTTTCTACGCTTTGTCTGCTTGTCATTATCGTATATTAGCTTTGTTCTATGTCTTCGTCAACATTTATAATTTATGATAATACTGTAGGGTAATATAATTTTATAAATTGGAATTCGTACACTTTTTTGCATACGGTCATCATAAATTTTAGAGGCATCGTTTTTTACTTTAGCTTAAATATTTATTACAAAATAAAGATTAATAGCTAGAAAATCACAAACTACAACAGCAAAATATCGATTTTAGTCTATAGCATTAAATAATCCACAGATATATACTAATAGATGTAATTTTGACTCAAATATAAATGTGCGATATTAAATGAATAAATTATGCATTCAAGTATATAAGCCTGCAAATGATATAGAAGTAAGTTTTTAAAGGAAGAAAAATTGAATAATAACATCTACATTTACAATTGACGTCTTTAAAGCTCATGATGACTGTTCCCGAAAAAAAGGTCAAAATTTTGATTCATAGCATTATATTACACTATTATTATTATTATTATTAATTGCTTATTGCTATTATTCAAGTCCTCTCTGTTTAAAAAGTCTACAATTATCTTTTTTGATGTAAAATTAAGACAAACATTCGTTTGATTATAATTGAGAAGTAAAATTTTTAGTTTGAATTGAGATAAATTAAAGAAAATTTCTAATTAATTATATAGATGACTTTGGGGAAAAGTACTAAAAGTTCCCAAAGCATTTATGCTATTAGATAATTCGTAGATTTTTAAAGTACATGTTGACCGAAACTGAAATAAATATATTTATATTACAAAATAGTAACTACATAATATTATTTAATGCGAAGAATTGATGAATATAAATTCTGATTACATCCTGAAAGTAATATCAATTGATGAGTAAAGCTTCTGATTATTTCGTGACATTTATGTAAGTTCATTAAAAAGAATTTTGAATGCCTTCTGAAAGTAACTATAATACGCTATTCACCTTAAATGAATACTACCCAAGCTGACAATAGTTTCAGAAAACACATATATCAACGCTCAAAAACGTGATGTTTTAAGCATGTAAATGCCTGTGAGGGAAAATGGTCATGAAAATCACTAAAAGATATTAATCGTGTGTATCCACATATTTTGTATTTCGATTATTTACACTCGTTTACATACATATTCGGGATCGTCTTTTTTACTGACCATCGGGAATCACGATCGACATTTAAAAATGCCCAATTTTTTTCTTCTTCTTTCATACGCTTTTTCGGAAGTTTCTGGTTACCAGGTTAGTATTCGAATAACTGATAATACATGATAGCTTTAAAGAAATTCTTTATGTGAACTAACCGAGAAGTATAAGACCAATTATGTTTTGAATTGAAATAATTAATTATATAATCACTCAACAATTATATGAATTTTGAACTCTAATACGGGTAACGATTTTCTCAATCATCACCAAAAATACAAATATTGAAAGTAACATTTATTTTCTTATGATATTTCA